AGCTTAAAACACCTCATATTTGTCTTGCAAATACAATTTTGTGTATGTTTCTCTTCTCTTGCCTTTAAAAATGACTATTTTTTCACCCTGGAAAAATACCAGTTTGTGAGAACGACTCTGAATGAATCTGAGACAGATGAGATGGGGTGCAGAGGCCAGTGGTGCTATTTCATTTTTCTGATAAATCAATGTTTGCTAAAGTGTTTCATGGCTTGGTGTTTTTATTTAGACTTTTTCTAGTAAATACTGGCTGAGATAGAATACTTTAGTTGAAGATTAACACCTGTAGCTGGCCTGCACTGGAAATCTTTGAAAAACCAGAAACCTTGAATTTAACTGATGTGCTATTTTGCCACATTGTTGTAACCAGAACTGATTTGGAGAGTATCAGTTTTTCCTAAAACACTCTAGTGCTTCCCAAAGGTGTATCACAATGCAGCAATTAAATATTTTTGTGAGAGCTGGTGAAACACCCTTTCCAAGACAGGCTCCTTAATCACCTTCCAACATGTCCTAAAACCCTCTTTGCGGTGGGCTTGGCAGGGTTACGGGTGGTTTGGTGCCTGAGGGGTGTTGGGCTGGGCCAGGAGAGCAGCCTCCCTCTTCCTCCTCCTCCTCCTCACGACTTTCGGCTTGTCTTTCTCATCCCTCTCATTTCTTACCTGCTCTTTTTGGGGGATTTTGCCTCTCTCTGCATCACTGCTGAAGTATGGAAAGCCAGGGAAGCTGGTTTGTTCTTCTAGTTTCAACCAAACTTTTGCAATGTGGATAGAGAGTATCCATTAAGGTTAATGACCTTAAGTGGGTAACTATCCTTTACTCAGGAGGGGGTGGAATTTGTTGTCACAATGAGATTTCACTTTTTGGAACAACTGTTGACAGCCACATTCCCTTCGCAGAAGATGGACACTTCACTACAATTCTTGTGAACAGCTCGTATTTAAAGGTCCGTGCGTTGGCATATGCACTCATAATGTTATTTTAAATATTTTTTTTCTTTTTAGTAACTTGAACCTATGACTATGTAGGTATTCTGGTGAAGGTGGTACCTCGATGTCTTGCTGAAGTAGCATTTTTCAAGTTAATGTTGTTTGGTTTCCTCTGCCCCTTGTGATTTTTGTCCGTGGAGCTGAACTCCTTTCAGAAGCGATCTTCCCTCCAGTGAGGAAATTTGAGCGAGTGGCTTTGCCTTTGTGACTTATGTGGAAAAATACACAAAATTACTTGGCTCTGATGTTGCAGGCAACTTGACAGCCTCCCCAGGTTTCCTGAGGAGGGAATACTTAATGCTTCAGCTTTGAGGTGAAACGAGAAGCACTGCTGTTAGCCTGCCTTTGGGGCTAACGACCCTGAAATATTGTTCATATTGATCATCGAATCATAGAATCATAGAACAATTCAGGTTGGAAAAGCCCCTTGGGATCATCGAGTCCAACCATTAACCCTATGCTACAAGGTCACCCCTAAACCGTATCCCCCAACACCACATCTAAACGACACTTGAACACATCCAGGGATGGTGACTCAACCCCCTCCCTAGGCAGTCTGTGCCAGGGTCTGACCACTCTTTCTGTGAAGAATTTCTTCCTAATGTCCAGCCTAAACTTGCCCTGTTGCAACTTGAAACCATTCCCCCTGGTTCTGTCCCTGATTAGCCTTCCATCCTGCCACACAGCTCCGCACACTTTTTTCCACAAAGTTGACCCCCGCCTCGCCACCCTCTTCTAGCTAAATTCTTGGCAGCGTCTCACGGCGGGATCAGATGAAGATTTAGCCCTCCCGCCCTGCTTCTGTCACCCCTTTTTGGTGCTGCCACTCCTTGGCATGTTCTGTGAGTATTTAGTTCCCTAAACTGGCAGAGAGCTGCTCATTTTTCTCGGCTGTAGTGCTAGTTTGCCATAACCCTGGAGGTGTTTAAAAAAAAAGTAGATCTAGCACTTGAGGCTATGGTGTAGCGGTTAGATATGCTGGGATGAAGGTTGGACTAGGTGATCTTCAGAGGTCCCTTCCAACCCCTAACATTCTGTGATTCTGTGAGAAGACCTGGCGGAAATGACAATATCACCATTCTTGTGAAACTTGGTAGGATTTTGAGAAGCTTAAAAGAAAACGAGTCTTCTGTAGTTCGAATTAGCATGGATGTATTTCAAACGTTAAGGCTGGCTTCCATATGTAACTTTTATCAGGTTTAATCCAAATCTTTTCAGCAAGGCGGTACCAGCTACACTCACCTGGTCACGCTGAAAACTGTTGCACTTTCTGGTAAAGCTGACTCCCGCGGGATGTTCTGGTTCACAGCTGGTTAAAAACTGCGCGGTTTAATCCAGGGGATTACCTTTCTTCAGAGCCTTCTCAGGGAAACCTCTTCAGGGCATCCTGCTTGGTTAGAATGTGCAGCAGATGGCTCAGCTGCTGCTGAACACACCGCTTTTGAAAACACGGAGCAGCTTTCAGTATTGTGCGTTAGAGCCACTTGTGAAAACAGTAGGGTGGGTAATACCCTGCTTTAGGAAGGACTCTGAACTTAAATAACTTGCAGCTTTAGTATCTGCTGTTTCGAAAGCCCAAAGGTTATGTTCCTGCTAATTATTGCTCTCTTCTCCCTTAAATAACTCTCTGTCTGAATTCCCACTCCCACCTTGTCCTGCGCTCTCCTGCCGGGGCTGGCGTGTCCCTTTCAGACCAGTTTTGAAGACCGGACGCCCCGTTTCACCAAACTCCTGATCGCATGGAAGCAGTTAAAGACGGCAGCAGCGCGGGATCTTAGCCCTGTGCCTGTCTTCATTCCCGGCAGGCAGCCTGCAGACCGAGAGATACCGGCCGGCTCAAGTCGAATTCGTTTGTATTAAACAAATCGGCCCTAATTGAACTGCAGAGAGTTTGACGAAGCAGAACATAACGCGTAGCTGCGACCTGCAGCGTCTGCGCACCAGGGGTGGGTCGGAGTTGGTGATCTCAGGGGTCTTTTCCAGTCTCAACAATTCTCTGATTCTGTGGCTTGATGTGGAAGCTCGTTGTGCCTAAGCAGAGCTACGGACTTTAAATATCACAAATATTCACAGCACCCTCGAAGCTCCGCTTTGAAGCGATACTGTTGGAAGAGAGTCTCAACTAGGAGGCTTCTTGTGCCAGGGGTTTTTTTTTGATTTGTTTTTTTTCTTCCCCCCTCTGGCTTCAGATAAATCCCGCGGGAGGGACAGCCGCGCTCCCCTCGGCTGGATGCTGCTGAGGGGGGTTCTGTCGCGATCGAGCTGCGGGAGGGTGAGCTGGCAGGACTGGGAGTTGCTGCGCGGGGAG